CGCCGAGGGTCGGCCTCGCGCGCAGCCTCTTCTTGCCGCCGCGGATGACCACGGCGCCGGGTGGCGTCGCGCCGGCGCCGTCCCGTGCCGCCGCCGCATCGTCGAAGAAGGTCCCCAATGCGGCATGGACGAAGAAGGGCAAAACATCCGCGAAGAAAAACAAGTCGACGGACGGCTCCGGCACCACGAAGGCGAGGGGAAAGAAGCTTGCAGGGCGTTCGACGACCGCGGCGGCTACCGAAGCGCTGGCGAGCTCACTCGTTGAGCCGGCCGCCGACGCGCACCACGTGTTCAACGAAATGCCCCCAAGGTGAAAAAAATTTCCAACTTTTCTTTTCTTCTTATTTTTTCAATGCATCATCATCACATATTGATAGCTTATTTGCATTGTTCAAAAAACTTTGTAGTCTCAACGATGATGCATACATATCCACTATGGGTGTTGGGTCCAACAATTCGCATTGGTCTCAAACCAATGACATCCATTTCGAAGACCATGAGTTTGAGGTGGACGAGGAGGGTGAGGGAATTGTCGAGGCGCCGAAAGGAAGAGCGGGCAATTACTCAACCAACGATGACAAGTTACTGCGCCATACTTATTTGCAAGTGTCGAGGGATCCATCCACTGGAGGTGATCAAAGTAGAGACACGTATTGGGGGCGAATAAAAGAACACTTTGATGCTCACAACTTGAGTGGAATTGACCGCTCCGAGAGATCACTTCGGTCCCGATGGTCGACAATCAACTCGGATTGTCAAAAGTGGGCGGACGTACAAAAGGCAGTTGACAAGATTAACCCAAGTGGCACAAATGAGGATGATCGAGTAAGTGGCATCTCATATATGTTCATCATACTTGTTTTTGGTGACCGAAGTGCTAACTTGTTTTGTTTTTCTTGTAGAACAACATTGCACAAAACTTGTTCAAAGAAGAGACAAGGACAACCAAGAAGGGGAAGATCAAGAAAGGCAGGGTCTTTACCTTGCCTCATTGCTATGAAGTGTTAAAGGATGATGAGAAATGGAAGAAGCGTGATGGTTTGGAGGATTTGCATTTGAGCAACAAACCGAAGCGAGCAATTGAGATGAATGATGATGAGGAGGAGGATGATGCATCAAGTGATGACGGCAAGAGAAGCCCCACACCCAACTCGGTTTCATACTCAAAGCCAAAACGACCGGATGGGTGCAAGAAAGACAAAACCGAAAAGAAGAAGAGGAAAGGAGATGATGAGCTCAAAAATGATATGGAAGCTATTGTGAAGGCAAGGGTCGAAGCCAATGAGGTGAGGAAAATGGCAAGGAACCAAGATGTCGTGGCCGAGGAGAGGAGGTTGGCGGCCGAGGAGAGAAGGGTGGCGGCCGAGGAGAGAAATGTGGCTTTGGAGGAGAGGAAAGTGAGCAACGAGGAGAGAGCTAAGTTGTTGGAATGGGAGAAGCACTTGTTCTTCTTGGACACATCTAACCTCAATGCGGCGCAAAAAGAGTATGTCAATCTTGCTCAACAAGAAGTCTTGCTTCAAAAAAGAGCATTGATTCGTGCAATGGGTGGCGGTGGCCTCGGCGCCATGGGTGGCGGTGGCTTCGGCGCCATGGGTGGCGGTGGCCTCGGCGCCATAGGAGGCATGGGTGGCTTCGGAGCCATGGGAGGCATGGGTGCACCTCCGGCCGCCATGGGAGGCATGGGTGCACCTCCGGCCGCCATGGGAGGCATGTGTGGCTTTGGAGCACCCTCCGACGCTATGGCCGCCATGGGAGGCATGAGTTTTGCTTCTCTCATGGGAGGCATGGGTGCACCTCCGGTTGCCATGGGTGCAATGTCTTTCGATGTGCCTTCTCACACACATTCCCATGAAGATGCCATTGAAAATCTTGCCAACACTGTCGGAGCTTCACATGATGCAGTGCGTGATGCGGTGCGTGATGAGGAGAGGGAGGAAGATTCATCTTCGGAGGCGGAAGAGTCGTCTTCGGAAGATGAGGACAAAGACGAAGACGAGGAAGATGAAGATTGACGTGTCTTTCATGTCTTGAACTTTAGTTTGCATTTGAACTTGGTTGGATAAACTTGTAGGCATGATTTTGAATTTGTGGGCATGAACTTTTATTCATCAACTTATTTGTGTTAAATTTCACATGCTCATTTTTGTTCAAAATATTATATATGCAAAATGCCCGGCGAGTCGCGCGCGCTGTATTTTTGCGCTCTGCTGGAGCGGCGCGCGCGCTAAATTATAGCGCGGCTGCTGGAGCCAGCGCAGATGGACGCGCAAAACCAACCGCAGCGCGCGCGGTAAACAGGTTTTTTACGCGCGGCGCTTAGCACGACTGTTGGAGATGCTCTAAAAAGACTAGACAGCGGGGACACCGTCCCCGGTCGGGTCTGGGAGGTAGCCGCTGGAGGCGGCTCGATCGGCAGAGACTCATCGTCGAGCGATCAGCGGCGGGCTGAACCCATCCATCCCAGGCTCCCGACGGCGCTGCGGCGGCCGGGGTCGACGGGCGAGCGGGTCGCTGAGTGGAGTCTCCCAACTGGAGGGGGGGAATAAGCAGAGTAAGCGCATCCATCGTCCTCGACTAGGATGCCGGCACTAGCTCAGGTTCGTCGTCCTACTGCTCGCTTAATTCCTCCATGCCCACTCTTTGACCAGCAGTAGCTTACTCAACCCATGGAGTAAATTTTTGTTTTCTGAGGGAACCCATGGAGTAGTTTGATTCCTCATGGCTGAATCATTGCCCATGTATCGCCGCCGTTCGAATCGCGTGAGGTCCAGCCTCCATGGTTGGTAGTAGCGCTCACACATTAGTGCATCACTACTCACTCAGAACTACTCCTTCTGTCCCATAATATAAGAGTGTTTTTAGATAACAGCGCACACTTTTCAGGTTACAACTCTGGGGCTGCTATGCCAACAGTAATTTAGTCCCGCTTTCTTCAACACATAGCCACTTTATTCTGTAAAAAAATTTGTCATTGTGATAATGCATGGCGTTTCTATGCCTATAACCAGCATCACTGGAACCATATGTGTGCGCTGTCATGTTTCTTACTTAGCAGTCAGTCTATTTTATGTAATTCTTAGCATCCACTTCATATTCTTCTAGTACTGATATTTTTCTCTGAATTCGTAATTTGTTGCAGAGAAGCTGCAACCTGCAGAACGAAGAAAGCGCTGTTGTGTGTTGCGTCCTTGCCAGGTCTGGACATCAAGGTTGGGCAGATCTACCAGATGTCCTGCTTCATTCGATTGTTGCTCTGCTGGGCTCCTTCTCTGACATTGTTGCCTTCGCTGCCACCTGCCGCTCATGGTGTGATGCCCTCTCCTCGTATCCATCGAAATCTACCTTCTCGACGCTCTTCCCGCCTCTCCTCCTCCAACCTGATGTCCCGGTGCGCTCTCCCCGTATGCCGCCAAAGTTTGATGACAAATATCCACGTCGTGTCCTTGATCTAGCCAGCCAACACTTGCGCCTTTGCTCTCAGATTCCCCTAATTAATTTTTCTCGTGTAAGTAACGACCCCCAGAGTCCTCTGGGTCGTTTCTGCTTTGTGGGTGCTTCTTATGGCCATCTCATCTTCTCCAGCAACAGGTCATGTCTCATTGTTGATGCGTTTACAGGTGTTAGTGTTTCACCGCCACAGCTACCGGGTGACAAATACACCGTGGTCTACTACGGTGCCCTCACGGCTCCCCTATGGTCACCCAACTCACATCTCCTTGTCACCAATGGATCCCACAGTTTCTTCTGGTGTGTTGCTGGTCATTCTTGGTTGAGGCCTTGTCCTTGCGATGGAACGGTCAAGCAGATCGTGACCTTCAGAGGCCAGATCTTTGGGATGGACTCTGATGGCATGCTCTTTGCCGTGCATTTGGTACCTCAGATCTGCATACAAAAAATGATAGTAAGTTGGGAGGAAATCATGTCCACCATACGGCATCTTGCCAATGTATGCCTGGTGGCGTGTGGGGATATGCTTCTCATGGTCGGTTGTCGGGGATCATTTCCAGCGAGAGGGAATACCTTTGAAGCCTTCCGCCTCGACCAGTCAACTGGGCATCCAAAGTGGGTACAGGTGGAGGAATTGGGGAATTGGGCGATCTTCATCAGCACCGACAAAAGAGGCCAGCCATTATCTTTCATGAACCCGAAGAGGTGGGGAGGAAAGAGCAACCGAGTATACTGCTATTCCCATGATTCTGAACATTGGGCTGCATTTGAGCTGGGCAAGCCCGCCTCCGATCCAGACAACTTTGTTTCAATGAGCCAAGGCAGCATGGTGCAGCCTATGTGGGTTGTCCCCAGCATGTTCTCTCGGTGTCTTTGATGGATGTGCATTCTTTTTATGCATGGCTATATTTGCTAGCTGGAGCAGCTTCTTCTATAAGAATGTGTCAGAATGTATGAAATATGTCCATAGCAAAATCATGTGATCGGTGAAAGGAAATTTGTCGTTGTTATTTTGGCATCACTTGGATGTATGGTTGGAGTATGGTATCTTGTACTCAGTTTCAGATTTTTATGGCAGTGATGTATTTGACTATGATCTGATGCATGTCATTTGTTTGTCTGTCCCAAACCTGAGCCGACTCCTGTAACCGTTAATTCCAGTTTCTGGGTATTAGTGTTGGTTATAACATTTTCATTTTTGTATTTCACATGTGCTTACATACAAAGGGCTTCATTCTTTAGATTGCATTGAAAGGTAACATATATAGGGACGTGGAGTATCTGCTCAAATGAGCTCGGATGAACAGTAAAATCGAAAAAAAAATCTAATTTTTTTGATAAACTTTGATAAATGTTTTAAGTGCTTGTAAATTTTCATTATGAGATCACATTCGTGGAAGGCTTGCAAAAATAAAATAAAATCAATGCTCTAAAAATGCTACCTTCAAAAGCATTTTGGAGCACTGATTTTGTTCTTTTTTTTTGCCATGCCTCACAAGAATGTTTTCTCATGATGAAAATTAGCAAACACTTACTCCCTCCGTTCCTAAATACAACAACAACAACAACAACAACAACAACAACAACAAAGCCTTTAGTCCCAAACAAGTTGGGGTAGGCTAGAGGTGAAACCCATAAAATCTCGCAACCAACTCATGGCTCTGGCACATGGATAGCAAGCTTTCACGCACCCCTGTCCATAGCTAGCTCTTTGCTGATACTCCAATCCTTCAGGTCTCTCTTAACGGACTCCTCCCATGTCAAATTCGGTCTACCCTGCCCTCTCTTGACATTCTTCACACGCTTTAGCCGTCCGCTATGCACTGGAGCTTCTGGAGGCCTGCGCTGAATATGCCCAAACCATCTCAGACGATGTTGGACAAGCTTCTCCTCAATTGGTGCTACCCCAACTCTATCTCGTATATCATCATTCCGGACTCGATCCTTCCTCGTGTGGCCACACATCCATTTCAATATACGCATCTCCGCCACACCTAACTGTTGAACATGTCGTCTTTTAGTCGGCCAACACTCCGCGCCATACAACATTGCGGGTCGAACCGCCGTCCTGTAGAACTTGCCTTTTAGCTTTTGTGGCACTCTCTTGTCACAGAGAATGCTAGAAGCTTGGCACCACTTCATCCATCCGGCTTTGATTTGATGGTTCACATCTTCATCAATACCCCCATCCTCCTACAACATTGACCCCAAATATCGAAAGGTGTCCTTCCGAGGTACCACCTGGCCATCAAGGCTAACCTCCTCCTCCTCACACCTAGTAGTACTGAAACCGCACATCATGTACTCGGTTTTAATTCTACTAAACCTAAACCCTTTCGATTCCAAGGTTTGTCTCCATAACTCTAACTTCCTATTTACCCCCGTCCGACTATCGTCAACTAGCACCACATCATCCGCAAAGAGCATACACCATGGGATATCTCCTTGTATATCCCTTGTGACCTCATCCATCACCAATGCAAAAAGATAAGGGCTCAAAGCTGACCTCTGATGCAGTCCTATCTTAATAGGGAAGTCATCGGTGTCGACATCACTTGTTCGAACACTTGTCACAACATTATCATACATGTCCTTGATGAGGGTAATGTACTTTGCTGGGACTTTGTGTTTCTTCAAGGCCCACCACATGACATTCCGCGGTATCTTATCATAGGCCTTCTCCAAGTCAATGAACACCATATGCAAGTCCTTCTTTTGCTCCCTATATCTCTCCATAAGTTGTCGTACCAAGAAAATGGCTTCCATGGTCGACCTCCCAGGCATGAAACCAAACTGATTTTTGGTCACGCTTGTCATTCTTCTTAAGCGGTGCTCAATGACTCTCTCCCATAGCTTCATTGTATGGCTCATCAGCTTAATTCCACGGTAATTAGTACAACTCTGAACATCCCCCTTGTTCTTGAAGATTGGTACTAATATACTCCGTCTCCATTCTTCTGGCATCTTGTTTGCCCGAAAAATGAGGTTGAAAAGCTTGGTTAGCCATACTATTGCTATGTCCCCGAGACCTTTCCACACCTCAATGGGGATACAATCAAGGCCCATCGCCTTGCCTCCTTTCATCCTTTTTAAAGCCTCCTTCACCTCAGACTCCTGGATTCGCCGCACAAAATGCATGATGATCTCATCAAAGGAGTCGTCTAGTTCAATGGTAGAACTCTCATTCTCCCCATTGAACAGCTTGTCGAAGTACTCCCGCCATATATGCTTAATCTCCTCGTCCTTCACCAAGAGTTGGCCTACTCCGTCCTTGATGCATTTGACTTGGCCAATGTCCCTCGTCTTCCTCTCTCGGATCTTGGCCATCTTATAGATGTCCCTTTCACCTTCCTTCATGCCTAACCGTTGGTAGAGGTCCTCATATGCCCGACCCCTTGCTTCACCAACAGCTCGCTTTGCGGCCTTCTTTGCCATCTTGTACTTCTCTATGTTGTCTGCACTCCTATCCAGGTATAGGCGTCTGAAGCAATCTTTCTTCTCTTTAATCGCCTTCTGGACGTCATCATTCCACCACCAGGTATCCTTATCTTTGCTTCTTCTTCCCCTGGACACTCCAAACTCCTCCGAGGCCACCTTACGAATGCAAGTCGCCATCTTCATCCACACATTGTCCGCATCCCCTGCTTCCTCCCAAGGGCCTTCCTTAATGACCCTCTCCTTGAACACCTGCGCTACCTCCCCCTTAAGCTTCCACCACTTCGTTCTAGCAACTTTGGCACGCTTATCCCGCTGGACACGAATCCAAAAGTGGAAGTCAGCAACCACCAGCTTATGCTGGGGTACAACACTCTCTCCAGGTATCACCTTACAGTCTAGGCACGCATGCCTATCTTCTCTTCTCTAGAGGATGAAATCAATCTGGTTAGAGTGTTGGCCACTACTAAAAGTCACCAGATGTGATTCTCTCTTTCTAAAGAGGGTGTTAGCTACAATCATGTTGTAGGCTAGAGCAAAGCTTAAGACATCTTCTCCTTCTTGATTCCTGATGCCATGGCCAAAGCCCCAATGCGCCCCTTCAAAACCTGTGTTAGATGTACCCACGTGGCCATTGAGGTCTCCTCCTATGAAGAGCTTCTCACCAATCGATACACTCCTAACCATGTCTTCCAGGCCTTCCCAGAACTCCCTCTTGGTGTTCTCATTGTGGCCTACTTGCGGGGCATACGCGCTGATAACATTGAGAACCAAGTCCTCAACTACCAGCTTGACCAAGATAATCCGGTCCCCACGTCTCTTGACGTCTACCACTTCATACTTGAGGCTCTTGTTGATCAAGATGCCTCCGTTCCTAAATATAAGTATTTTTAAAGATACCATTACAAACTACATATGATGTATATAGACATATTTTAGAGTGTGGATTCAATCATTTTGCTCCGTATGTAGTCCATAATGTAAGATCTAAAAAGATTTATATTTACGAACAGAGGAAGTAGAACATTTGTCAAAGTTTACCAAAAAAACAATTCAGATTTTTGATTTTTTTTTTTCAATTTTATTGTTCATCCGAGCTCATTTGAGCTCTAGCTCAGATAAGGTTATATCATACTTTCGCATATATAAGGTTATATGATATCATCATACTTAGTACATGGCTGGAACTAAGTAAACATATGTGCTGATTAATACTATTAAAGCGAGATCCTGTTGTTACCCAGAGTAAATATACATGTGAGGCCGAGACGACACCACAACACATGTTATGCATCCGAGACTGCACAACACCGCGACACCACCTGTCGCAAGGAGAAGACGAAGGTCATGCGAGGCCGAGATGGTTCCATGACACCTATGTGCCACCGACTAGGTTGCAAGGCACCGCCTAGCAAAGACATAGCAAGGAGCACTCAAACACGAACCACAAGAACAACAAGGATGAAGCCTGCCAGAATGGGAAAGGCATACACCCCCAAGCCACGGCCCTCCCGGGTGATAGGAAGTCGCATCCATGGCCGCCGCAACGAAGCCATGAAGCTCGCCAACCCAACGAACAAGCGCCCACCGAAGCTGATGTAGGACAAGGGGGACCTCCCCAACAACCCACCCCATGTGGGGAGCAAGCCGCATCCATGGCTGCCATTTGCACGCCAAGGAACCACCGACCTACGCAACCACAGCAGGCCGACAGACAGGAGAAGAGGTGACCAACAACATTGCCCCGCACCACACAGGGAAGCCCCCGACCACCACCAAGCTCCACAGAGAGTGCCACCCATGTCGTTCACACCAAAGCAAATGGGGGAGCCCGCTACAACAGTGGTGCAGGAACGGAGCAGCCCCAATGGATCCGAGATGGACCCGGCCGGATCCAGCCGCGCGCCCTAGGTGAAATCAGGGGCGAGCCCGACTTTTTCTCCAAAAACTATGAAAACTTCGGAGTGCCTGTAGAGATGAGGCGAGAACCAGCTATCTTAACTGTAACTGTCTTTTGTGAACTTTTTTGCATTTATTTCTGTGATACTGGAATCACACAAGGCCAAAACCAAGCTACAAAGTCTTCCATAATAAATTCAAAAATACTATTTACTTCTACACGTTGCATTTCCCAGGACGCACCATGGAAATCGCAAAGAATTTGCATCCCCTTGCACTTGCACAAATATATGTGATACTCCTGAGGCGATCTAGTATCTCCTCAACCCACTGGCATCAGTATATCCCTGAAAGGAAAAAGAATGTCCCAGAAGTCTATAAATACATGTCGCGGTAAAGATGGTAATACCTTGGAAACAATGTTCTTTTTTTTTTGAAGGAAAACAACATTCTAGCACCACAATAATAAATATATGGGCGTTCTTCCCAAGCAAACTTACAGGATCAGATAACTTCTGTTCTACCAGTGAAACTCATGGATATCTACGGACTCTATTCGCCTGATATGACCCTGAAAATGAGTTGCAGAAGGGAAGCCGTAAGCGTCTGTAGCTTTTGCTTAAATTTATTTCACTAATATGCTCAAATTTGATCTTGTTTGTGAATGGCAGATTCCCCCTAACCACCACCTAACTGTCACGTTACCCCATCAGTGATGGCTATGCATGATAGGTGCTCATGTACAACTGAGAAGGGCTTACCAAAGAAATTGCAAACTCTTACTCTCCTAGTATCTTAAATCTCTCCTATGTTACAAATGACGTGGTGTTACAACTTACAAATACAATTATGTTGTGTTAAAGACCGCAAATTCACAATGATGCTGTCAAGTGTCAGCTTGAAACATCACTAGTCAAGTAGTAATCCGCTAGGTGTTCTACCAAAAGAAGTGGATACATAATTATTTCAAGAAAAAAATATAGATAATCATTGTAACTTATTAAAAGTTTAGGGTAATAACCGTACCATAAGGTCAATAATTAGAGCTTGGGCTTCGGCATTGCTGTTCAGGCAGGTACCAACATGCTGGAATTAAGGAAAAACCGTAGGCATGAATTATCAAAACAGGACAGAGTGTTGCTGGAAATAAAAACAAAATAGCTAATTTTATTTAGGAAAACATTTAGGTGTCCAAATAAATATTTTTTAAAGTCTACACATGCATACAAATAATACAACAACAATGACAACAAAGCCTTTCAGTCCCAAACAAGTTGGGGTAGGCTATAGTTGAAACTCATAAGATCAAAATCATGTCATGGTTCTGGCACATGACTTGGTTTCTATGTTACATAAATTTGGTAGCGAAACTTTTGAGTGACACCATTTCTACTAAGTTTCTAGCTATCGTGTGCTCGAATAATTTTGGTACTGCAGAAAAAACAGTAGGCATGTGTTGGAAATATGCCCTAGAGGCAATAATAAAAGCATTATTATTATATTTCCTTGTTCATGATAATTGTCTTTATTCATGCTATAATTGTGTTATCCGGAAATCGTAATACATGTGTGAATAATAGACACCAACATGTCCCTAGTAAGCCTCTAGTTGACTAGCTCGTTGATCAACAGATAGTCATGTTTTCCTGACTATGGACATTGGATGTCATTGATAACGAGATCACATCATTAGAAGAATGATGTGATGGACAAGACCCAATCCTAAACATAGCATAAGATCGTATAGTTCGTTTGCTAGAGTTTTTCCAATGTTAAGTATCCTTTCCTTAGACCATGAGATCGTGTAACTCCCGGATACCGTAGGAGTGCTTTGGGTGTACCAAACGTCACAACATAACTGGGTGACTATAAAGGTATACTACGGGTATCTCCGAAAGTGTCTGTTGGATTGACACGGATCAAGACTGGGATTTGTCACTCCTTATGACGGAGAGGTATCTATGGGCCCACTCGGTAATGCATCATCATAATGAGCTCAAAGTGACCAAGTGTCTGATCACGGGATCATGCATTACGGTACGAGTAAAGTGACTTGCCGGTAACGAGATTGAACGAGGTGTTGGGATACCGACGATCGAATCTCGGGCAAGTAACGTACCGATTGACAAAGGGAATTGTATACGGGGTTTGCGTGAATCCTCGACATCGTGGTTCATCCGATGAGATCATCGAGGAGTATGTGGGAGCCAACATGGGTATCCAGATCCCGCTGTTGGTTATTGACCGGAGACCGATCTCGGTCATGTCTACATGTCTCCCGAACCCGTAGGGTCTACACACTTAAGGTTCGGTGACGCTAGGGTTGTAGGGATATGTATATGCAGTAACCCGAATGTTGTTCGGAGTCCCGGATGAGATCCCGGACGTCACGAGGAGTTCCGGAATGGTCCGGAGGTAAAGAATTATATATAGGAAGTGCTATTTCGGCTATCAGGGCAAGTTTCAGGGTGATCGGTATTGTACCGGGACCACCGAAAGGGTCCCGGGGGTCCACCGGGTGGGGCCACCTATCCCGGAGGACCCCATGGGCTGAAGTGGGAAGGGATCCAGCCCAAAGTGGGCTGGGGCGCCACTTCCCCTAGGGCCCATGCGCCTAGGGTGGGGGAAACCCTAAAGGGGGCGCCCCCTTGCTTGGGGGGCAAGCCCCCCCACCCCTTGGCCGCCGCCCCCCTAGGAGATTGCATCTCCTAGAGCCGACGCCCCCCTAGGCCCCCTATATATAGTGGGGGGGAGGGAGGGCCTCTAACCTACGCCATTGGTGCCTCCCTCTCCCTCTCCAACACCTCCTCCTTCTCCATAGAGCTTGGCGAAGCCCTGCCGGAGTACTGCAGCTCCATCACCACCACGCCGTCGTGCTGCTGCTGGAGCCATCTTCCTCAACCTCTCCTTCCCCCTTGCTGGATCAAGAAGGAGGAGACGTTGCGCTGACCGTACGTGTGTTGAACGCGGAGGTGCCGTCCGTTCGGCGCTAGGATCTCCGGTGATTTGGATCATGTCGAGTACGACTCCCTCATCCCCGTTCTTTGAACGCTTCTGCTCGCGATCTACAAGGTACGTAGATGCATCCAACCACTCGTTGCTAGATGAACTCATAGATGGATCTTGGTGAAACCGTAGGAAATTTTTTGTTTTCTGCAACGTACCCCAACAGCATGCACTTAAACTTGCGTATATATATTAAATATGCCTGGATATTACCACAGGAAACTATAAAAAAATCTGAACAAAAACTAAATCTTAAATATCTGAAAGCACCCATCAAATCCCCCTCAGCAGTTCATCTACTGAATTTTTTTTTGGCGAGAAGTTCATCTACTGATTCAAAAAGGACATGCCACAAAACACCGTTTCAACCTCAATCCTTTAAACTGGATGTTTTTTGTTAATTAAGCAACTGAATTTAGGTACTACCCTCATACTTTCAAGTGCTTACCCTTGCACATTAGAGGTGCCACCCACTTATACCCTTAATATTCCAATGTACCAACTCCTCCAAAATGGTAATCCAAAGCTTTCACAGATTGTTCATCAGACAACTTGGTTGGAGATGTTGGAAACCAACAAGAATAAATATCTGCCTAATTTAGCCAACGAAGGTGCTCCTGACCAAGATGAAAGGGACAATCTGGCCAAGTCGTGCAGATGGTGATAAGGAAGCGATATGTCGAAAGTAGCAACAAGTGACCAGTAAGAAGGCGACGGACAACGTCAGGTCACAAAAAAGGCTACAGGAAGGATCGAGAGGGCAAAGTCACATCAACAACAATGATAGGGGCACCGAGCTCGATTCAATTGAAAAGACCATGGGAAACCCCCCAAAAAGTGACTAAATGATTTACAGTGAAATGGATGAATTCCCCACCATGCATACAGATTCAAAATGAGATGACTTGGATGGAGTCAGATGGATGATGGACACGATGGCAATGAACACAAAGATGCAGCAACAGTGATTATGGACGAACATGCAGCACAACAGAGGAGAAGAGCAGGCAGAACTGAAGCAGCACACCAGCACACATATAACCAGCCCTACAAACCATCGAGCAAACATGACAGTAGAACCATGGCAAAAATGACCCAGTGCAGAAGAACCTCACCCAGCATCAACATCGCAGCAAGGCCCGACACCCAGTACAAGTGATAGCGCCGCAACTTGCAGTCAGCTCTTCCTCTGGTGTGTGGCAGCGGCTGCGACACACCAGCATCAGCAGGACGGTTCCGGGAGCTGGTGATGATATATTGATATGCACGGGCTGGCGATGACGCTGGATAAAGAGCAGCAACAAGCTCTGATCTGGGGAAGCTGCCGACGACGGGAAGGGCTACCGCTGCAATGGGCCAAGCCTGCAGGGTAGCTTCTACCACCCAAGGGCGTGCTAATGTAGCCCAGCGACAAGTGGCAGTAGAAGAAGATGAGCCGCCTGTTATCTAGAGGATACCGGGCAGCGCGGTCCAGACGAGTTAGAAAGTCACAACCTGGCATCAACAGATTCGGCCAGAACGGTGATGCAGATGGCCAAACCATGCCTCCAAGTCGACCAGATCAGATGAGGATGGAGATTGACAACGATAATGAGCTCAAGTCCGAACAAAATCAATGCCAGAAATGAGGAGAGGACAAAGGATACACACCCGGACAGTTTGGCCCGCGAAGACGACCTTGCTGTCGAGGAAGACGAAGACAAGCTGCTGCTACCATAGGGATACGAGAGAAGCTCGCCAAAGGAACACATGGCCACATGAGACAATAAGGAACGAGCTACCACTACATCTAGATAAAGATCGATGCCGCCACCAGGAGTGGAGATTGCTCCTCCCTGGACCAATGCAGCAGCGACGGAGAGTGGTGGCGCCAGGAGAGAACCTGGCACAAGGATACTACCTCATAAGGAAGCAATAATTACCTCTAATATTTTGCATATTCCTTTTTCAAAAGCCAACTTAACGTTGAGAGGATCAAGATCGCCACTTTCATAATCAACAATAAGATCTTCCATGCATTCAAATGACCTGTATATAGTAAAAAAATGTCAAAAATTCTTGGATATAATGTCGATTTGTAGATATCTACAGCATTGTTAGCACTTGGCACATACTCCCTCCGTTTCAAAATAGAAGTTAGTATAAAGTTGGGTCATCTATTTTGGAACGGAGGGAGTAATTCCTTGGCGAGCCAGAATTTATTTAGTTCATGTCCTATATACTGTAGATTCTGATTGCATAGATTTGATCATTGTGACTTCAAACATTCTACTGGTGAATTACGCCATTGACCTTTGATGCTTCACAAGAAACAGATACGAGCAACTTTTGGTAGAAGTGTCAAAGAACTTTACTTGTTAACACCACTCTGTTCCTTCTGCGCTACCTCAAACTTCCCAAACCAAGGGAACATAACATATTTGATGTACTCCAAACATGGGTTGCATACTGCTACTTTTGGAGGACAGACAGCCCTGCTTATTTTTCCATTCAAAGCGCACTGCAACATACAGAAGTGCAATTTCAAACAACCTTATTGTACCCAAAAAAAAACTGTGGACAGGAAAGCAATGATTGACAACTAGAAAATGTACAAGAAGCAACATCTCTATCTACGTCCTTTTACATGGCAAGATTATCCAAAAAAGCCCATGCAAAACTGAACTACTCAACCCATATTTAGAAGCAGGGCCAGCCCTGGAGCAGGGCAGTGGGTGTGACGGCCTAGGACCCAAGCTAATTAGGGGCCCATATCTCGTGTATTTCGTATAGCATGCACTATAAAATGCAAGCTCAGCCTAGAGTTCATGGGCCCTACTTTGAAGTTTGGCCTAGGGCCCTTCAAATACCAGGTCCGGACCTGTTTAGAAGGACCAAAATACAGAAGTTAAGAGGCTCCTGTACTGTAAAGAGTTTTCAGGCTCCTGTTAACATAAAATTGACAACCTCATGATACTGACCTGAAAATTCTAGAATTGAAACAGTCTAAGTAAATTTAGCTTGGAATGCAAAAGTTGTGCCAATAAACGCTAACTTCTCTATTGCTGAATGACTATAACACATACCTCCTTATCGTGCATGAAGATGTTCCATTTTGGTTCCCTCATGTTATAAGGGTCCTTTAGTACAATATAAGGATTATCTACTAAATTAGGTAGTGTATCTGTACTTCAAGTTAAGGATCTATCTCATGAAATAAATATCATCATCCAAGCTCCAAACAACAAAGTACAAACAGAAAGATGCATCATAAACAATCAGGACTGCAAAAGAAGAAAAAAAGCCAGAATCAAGATACTGTGCAACATAATAGTTGGTTTGCTTTCGCTTTTTATGTCTTCACAATACTCTCTGGTTAGCATGACAATTTCTTGCTGATCCATGCTGAAGAGCCATATATCCGCCTGCAACTACAAAACAGAAGGATTTGTGTATTTAATGCAGGATCAAGATTATATACACATAAGCAGGATGCTCATAAACACAAGTTGTTTGTATCAGGTGCAAATGATTTTCTTTATTCATTAAAATAATTTTTCTATAATGGGATACTGAGATGATCACAAAAAACTATGGTGACCTAAACATTTTCACAAGATCTAAATTAGAGCTTAGAGGCATCTACTCGAAAGAAACAATTGTGATACATTGCCGGTGGTACAGAAAGGCTACTTCATACCAAAGTGCTAGCTTACATCAAATATGCCAAGCCTACCTTTTTGCTACAAACTCTATTCAGGTTACTTCATATCAAAGTGCTAGCTTACAGTGACTATGTCAAGGAGTGAAATCCTGCCCCTTTTGCTACCAACTCTGTTCGTGTTCATTTCATTTCAGAAGAAGACAGATACATGGTTTCTGAACTAAAACCACGGCAGTTATTTTGGAACAGAGGGAGTATTTGTGTTGTGTTCACTACCTGAACAAACAAGAACTGGTCTAGCTTTTAAAATCTCTACTGTTAAAGTAGCCGCACAAGTAGAAGTATCCATGAATGGTGCTCAGTCTCATGTCTGTCCTATTCATGTAACATAATAATAATATGTAGTCCCCTACAGTATATTGCTTCAGTTATGATGGGACCTTTGTTTTCCTCAGTTGACTGCAAAATTCAGTTTTTGTATAAGCCATGACTCTACTTAGAGCCAACAAAGCAACAAAGGTTGGAAAACGAAAGGTGCCTAGCAAAAATGGAAGCTAACGAAGTAAAGTAATGTTTGTTTGACAGGACATGGTGAATTTATTACTAAGGAAACCAACCTTCGGACATAATATAGCAGCAACTTGCATGCATGGGTAAAATATCACAGCAGCAGGCAGTCGCGGGTCATATGGGGCTGTTTCCGTGCAACAGCTGCTCATTAAACAATAAATTGGCTTGCTTGTTACAGAACGAGAAACTATCTGGCAACACAATGTTCAAGGGTTTGAAAGTGAAAAAGGACCAAAAATTAGCATAAAAAGGGGATACCTTGCCATTCTTTTTAGAGTGCATTTTCTGGAGACATCCAGGGCAAGTGGCCAGTAATCAGATGCATGCCTTTCCAACACATCTGAGAACCATACAAGCTCTACTCTGTCAAGATCCATGCCAGCTGCTTTCCACATCTCAATATTGTAGAAGCCAATTTTCCTTATTACATATTTATTGCTGCAAATCCTATGGTTCCGTTGGGCAAACCAATCTGCTATCAATATTTTAACTATGTAACCAGCTTTGACCATCTTGTTGACATAAATTGTCTTCAGAAGCCCCTGAAAGATAGAGCAGATATATGCAACCATTCCATTTGTAGATAATGTATTACAAATTTGGAAAAACTTGACGTAAGCAAATATCAGCAATGAATGGCCTGAGTTGTGCCAAGATGAAAAGTGCATAGTTAGCAATTCCCCAAAACATGAACCAAGTAAACCAGCAGTGCAAGAAATATATTCCTCATGGAAAGGAAAGCAACAGAAACCTGACATGCCCAAACATTTTCTAATTTCACAATCTTTCTATTTAAGCTCAGTTTAAATGGCATTGTTTGGTTGCATGGATGAGGGTGCATAGGATGATCCCACTCACGCCTTGAAGGCGGAACCTTTGTATGATCCCTGGGACAGGGTTGGGTCGGATGGGAACAGATGGGTTCATAATTAAAAAAATTGTATTCAAGTCATAAATCCATTGCGGATGACTACACCAAGGACCAGGAGGTTCCGAAGACTAAAGCTGAGAAGTGGATGAGGAAGACTATGTCTTTCGTGCAGGAACATGGTGCAAGACCGACATCTGCTGCAGCCACTGCTGCTGATGATGCTGGTATCCTGATGATTTCTGGAGCATGGCGAAGTAAGAGGTTCCTGAAAGTTTATGTGTTGGCTTTATTTTGGTTTGGCCTGTATATGCTGGTAAACTGCTAGACAAGTGATGAAGTACCAACAGGTTTTTGCCCAAAGCTTGCCGTTGAGATCAATAGTAAGAAGCTGGATTTCTGGTGATGTCCATACTCGTTTTTTTCTTTCCACATCCAGCTTTTGTTGTCGTACAACTGATTATTACCGATCCGGGCAACAGAAAAGGCCGCTTTGAAAAATAAATCATAATTCCAACCCCACTCATTAAATTCAAACGCTAATCATAAGAATTTGTTTGCATCTTTTGAACCATCCGAAACTAATCTGATTAGAGATCCAAACTAAAAGTGCTTAGAAGCACAATGATACTCAGGCTAAATCAAGCTGGACTGCAGTGAGAATGACCATATGGGCAGACAAGGGAAGAGAGGTGTGTGTGGTATCTGACACTTAACAGGATAAGATGACAAAGTTCAGTGTAACTCAAACCGGCATACGTTGATGTAAAAGCAGATTTTTTTTTTGTAGCTATACCTGGGTTATGTCCATCCAGGGGGTTGGCTCAAACCAAACGTAGCAAATGGGGGCATTCTTCTTCTGGAGCAGGAGCCAGAATTCATCCGCATAGACGCAATGATCCCCGATGCTCCTCAGGGCCGCGATCCTCTCATAGCAACTCGGCTCCATTGAGTCCCTACAAAAGTATACATGATAAATTCGAGTTATTTACCCAAAACCACCACATTATGGGCTAGGGTAACAGATCAATACCATATTTGGGGCAGGGCACAAAAAACCACCAACAATGGGGTTAATCTGTAACGCGGAGCACTGACGCTGCGTTTTGGCCCAGAAAACAGCGAAACCGACAGGTGGGGCCTGCCTGTCAGGATGATGTGGCAAAAACAATTCCACGTGGGCAGGCTGACGTGGCATGCCTATGTGGACAATTTACTGACTTGGACGAGGGTCCCACCTGTCAATGACTCGTGTGTTTATTTTCTTACTCTTTTCTTTCCTTTTCCTGTCAATTCGGTCCCTGTAAATTTTCAACAAAAGCAATCGGGTCCTACAAACAAATTAAAAAAGTCATTGCGTCCCTCCCGTGCTCAAGGTCGACAGGAGTTGCGCCCGCAACCGTGCTCGTCGGACAGCAGCCACCGTGAGGAGTGCAACGTCCACCGCAGAGCTCTGTTCCCTCGCCCGGGTCGTCATCCAGTGCGCGCAGCCGCAGAGCTCCCTTCCAGTGTCGCCGTAGTGCTTCCTCCCGCCGCCCGTCGGCGTCTACTGCGCGCAGCCGCGGAGCTCCCTCCCGTGCCGCCGCAGAGCTCCCTCCTGTCGTCCATGGCATATAGTGCACGCAGCCGCGGAGCTCCCTCCGGCGCCGACGCAGAGCTCCCTCCTATTGTCCATCGGCTTCTACTGCGCGTTGCCACGCTGCATCTGCCTCCATTAGCCCGAGCAGGAGGACCCGCGCAGGAGACGGCTCGGGGGCTCTGCGTCGAGGTCGAGCACGGCGCGCGCCGCGGACGGGGCGGATGGGCACGAGGTCGACGCCGACGACGAAAGCGCCAGCGGGGGCACGTGCGACGGCCACCTGCATCCAGCCCCCCGGCGCCGCGTAGAGGTCGAGCACGGCGCACGCCGGCGGGAGGAACCGGAAGCAGTCGTCGAGCTGCTGCAGCTTGAAGGCCGCGCGGCTCCGGTAGCTCTGCTCCTTGGCGAGGTGGTAGTACTCGTCCTGCCGCTGCTTCCCCTTCGCCTTGCCCATGGAGCTCTCGACTTGCATCGGCAGAGATGGCTCGCCACGCACTAAGCTGCTCGACACAATGCTCCATAGAAATAGAGATGGGATGAAGATGACCATGTAGTCAATGACAGGCGGGGCCCGCAGCTCATCTGCCACCTCAGCTAGTCAAAGTTTTCTTGTGTGCTTGGTATTTGCCACATCAGCCCGACAGGCAGGACCCATCTGTCGGATTCGCTGTTTTCCGGGCTAAACGCAGCGTCAGTGCTCCGCGTTACAGATTAGCCCCATTGTTGGTGGTTTTTTGTGCCCTGCCTCAAATGTGGTACTGATCTGTTACCCTAACCCATAATGTGGTGGTTTTGGGTAAATAACTCGATAAATTCACATGTGACATTCCCACAGCTTATGAAAGAAACATTGCAATCCATGTCAACTCCAACCTGTCGATGCTGGCAGCCACATCGGTCCAGCTATCCATGGTGGTGGGAATCTCGGGTTGCTCCGTATAGTTCGTTTCCAGCATACGTTGTTGCCTAGAGTGACATCAGATGATTATAAATCAACAGGTTAGCATAGTTTTGCTATTTGGACAGGAGCTGTTGCAGGGTTTGTAAGGAGGGCTTGAGATTCTAAGGGGGCATGAAGATTATACCTCGCCATCCGTGTGGAAAAACCGACGCGGAGAGGGGGCCGCGAGTTGGGAGGCATCGCTGGGGACTTGGAGGAGCCGGGAAGGGGCGGCGGCACGCTGCTGCCTGAAATTCAGGAGCCGCGGGTGATCGAGGAGGAGGTGGCAGCGGTGCGGGTGCTCCGGCGAGAGGAAGACGAAGAACGGTCGGGACGGAGGGCGGCGGTAGCAGAGCTAAGCGGCAGCGGCGGCGCCAAGGGACTGCCGGAGAAGAGAACCAGAGGGCATTTGCGGGCTAGCAGCAGGGCCGGCCCCGATCCGGACCTGGGTAACCCGGCCCAAAAAATCAGCGGGCGAGCTGGTTTTTTTCTCTTTAGTTTTTTAGTCGTTTCCCCCAAAGAAAAGCAGCCTGATAAATTCTACCCTATTGAAAATATAATCATGTATTTTAGAAGATTGTTCAGTATGTGTTTATAAAAGAGTTCAGTGTATATTAATTTTTTTTGCTATGTATTAAAAAACAGTGCAATGGGTGTAAGAAGAATTGTTCGATGTATACAACAAAAATGTTCATCGTATATTAAAATATTTCGATGTATACAACAAAAATGATGACCGAATATAATTTAAAAAGTTCTCCGTGTATTGAAGAACTGTTCAATGTGTATTACAAAATATTCAAAGTATACAACAAAAATGTGCCCCGTATATTATAAAAGAACTTTAGTGTGTACATGTAAAATGTTCACCATATAGTAAAAAAGTTCATTGTATGTTAAAAAAATTCAGCATATATTATAGAAAATGTTCATCATATATTGCAAAAGGTACAAAAATAACAAAAATCAAATCTGAAAAAGAAAAAAAAGAGAAATAAGTAAAAGAAAAAGAAAAAACATAATACAAAAAAAAAACAAATACAACCAGCAAGGAAGGACACTTGGGCCGACCCATTCGTTTTTGCCCTTTAGTGAAGGTTGGATTGTTAGGCACCCATGGGCGCCAAATAGGATATGCCCAGGCTCACGCCGTGTTTTGCACCTCAAAATTTATTTTGGGCTAGGCTCAGGCTTCTATTGTTTGGCTGGCCTTTTAGCTTAAAAAGAGGTACTTGATGAAAGTATACTTTACCCCTCAAATCCCCCTTAATGGATCTCCCCCTAAACTCTAAAATCGGTAAAATCACCCACTGAACTTGTCAAAATTGGATCAATCGGCCTCTAGGTGGTTTTGGACAGGATTCCAAGTGGTTTTGAGTTATTCGTGCCGACTCAAGTAGGACGCTCAGGTTGGGCTTTCGGGCTTAGAAAATGTTGTCAGACTATGCTTAGGATTTTGTTGAGGGGAGCGTATTTTTTTAGCCTGTAAGCATGGAAATAGAGATTTTGCTTGGCACCACCTCCCAGCTACAGGCACTGTTGGAGGCATCCTGATGGGAGTGGACCAAGATGTTTTTTATGTTGTCTCTTGGTCTCACTTAGATTTGTCTGTTAGTTGTGAAATGAGACACAAGAGTCATGGGAATCTATTTAGGGTCATTACAGTTTATGGCTCCCCTTATGAAGAAGGAAAAGAAGCCTTTATTTCTTAGCTTCACACTTTATTTGTAGATACTCACATCCCTGCTCTTATTGGGGGGGGGGGGTTCAACCTAGTTAGGAATGCTAAAGAAAAGAGCAATGGAGTTATCAATCATAGATGGAGTGATAACTTCAATGCTTGGATTGAGATTTGGGGGCTGCTAGAGATTAAGCTCTCTAGCAGGAAATTCATTTGGGCTAACAACCAGGTTGATCTCATCATGTCCACTATTGATAGACTCTTCTGTAGCACTGATATGGACACCCTCTATCCTTTGGCTTCTTCTAGATCTCTTTCTAGATGTGGAAGTGACCATACCCCCTCCTCTGGGATTCTGGGGTAGATGTCCAACCTAGGAAGAGTAGCTATAAAATGGAAAATGGTGGCTCCTTAGGGCAGATTTTGATGATCTAATCCATAAGATTTGGTTAGAGCCCAATAGAGCTACTTCTAACCTGGAAAGCTGGCAGATTAAGATTAGAAGCCTTAGAAGAGTTACCAAAGGTTGGAACTCCAAAGAGGAAGCTAATCTTAGAAGGTATAAGAAAATCCTAATTGAAGAATTTGACATCTTAGATGTTAGAGATGAACCCTCTGACCTTTTTCAGAGGTAGAATTTGCTAGAATGAAATTCATACATACTGAACTTAAGAAAATCTAGCTTCAGGAAGAAACAAAAGCTAAGCAAAGGTCTAGAGATAGAGATATCAGGGAAGGAGATAGAAACACTGCTTACTTTCATGTAGTGGCTAACCAGAGGAGGAGGAAAACCCTCATCCACTCCCTAGATGGGCCTGATGGGCCTATTTATGACATTAAGGACATGCTTAATATTGCTGGGGACTTCTATAAAAATTTGTTTAAAAAAGACAATAATAGTGGCTTTAAAATTAGGGTTTTTATCACTTATGCCATCGGTTGTGTCCCACTACTCATTTTTGCCACTAGGAATTTCAACTACTCAAAAATGCCATCGCTTTGTTAGACACATGTGCAAAAATGCCATTGGGCACCATTATTGTGATCTCAAATCTCTTTTGCCATGTTATAATGATATAAATACCGATGAACCATCATGCCAGCTCTCCTTCTATCTTACTACAATAAAATGTGGGGCCCACTTGATCCCAACAACGTTCTTATTTTCCTATAAAATTATTCGCTTGGTTACTCCTGACAAGTGGGGCCACACTTATCATTGTGAGATAGAGAGAACTGACATGTGGGTCTAGGCTTATTTTTGTCATATAACATGGTCAATGAGTTTGATGTGAAAATAATGATGTCTAATGGCATTTTTGAGGAAACATCTAACGTAACAATGGCATTTTTGAGCAAATATCTCATGGATCAATGGCATTTTTGAGTAGTTGTAACTTCTAATGGCAAAACTGAGTAGTGGGACACAACTAGTGGCAAAAATGATAAAAACCCTTAAAATTAAGCCTGACTTCTTCTCAACAGAGGAGCTAGTCACCCCTGCTGATAATGAGGCTCTAGAAGCCCCCTTTGCCGAGGAGGAAGTCAAGAGAGCAGTCTTAGACTCTTACCCTGATGGTGCCCCTGGACCAGATGGGATTCATTTTTTTCTATCAGTAGTTTTGGGAGGTGATTAAAGTTGATCTGATAGCTATGTTTAATGATTTCCATAAAGGAGAACTAGATATCCATAGACTTAATTTTGCTATGCTTACTCTGATTCCTAAAGAGCCTGATGCTACTTCTATG